CTGCCCCTGCCCTTCGCCGGCTTGGCATCCCACTGATGCTGTTCATCCTTTTCCTGTTGCTGAGGAGAGGCTGGTTTGAAGCAGTGCTTGTGTCCAGATCACATCAGGAAGCTGTGCTAAATGGTAGCTGTCGCACAGCTCTGGTGTGGTGGCTGAAGAGGGCTGTGATTGATGCCTGGCAGGAGCACAGCAGCTGCAGAGAAAGCCCATTAGTGTAAGGCATCTGCTTAGTGTTGATGGCTTCAACTGTCACGTCAGCTCAAAGTGACAGGCAGGAAACCTGCAGGCTGAGTCGCTGCGTGGCCAGAGAGCGTGTGAAGTGCTGTGGTGGAGCCTCTGAGCCAGCACCCTCGCTTGGTTTTGGCTTCCCATGTGCTTCCACTGACCTGAAGGCAACCTCAGGAGCCCTGTGCTAGGAGTCAGTCACCCTCATCTCTTCCCTCTAGGCTGAGGCAGAAGTGGCGTCTCTGAACCGCCGTATCCAGCTGGTAGAGGAGGAGTTAGACCGAGCCCAGGAGCGCCTTGCCACGGCTCTGCAGAAGCTGGAGGAGGCAGAGAAGGCTGCAGATGAAAGTGAAAGGTGAGCAAGGGACCTGCTCTCACTCCCTCAAACATCTCAGCCTTCTTCCTGACTGAGGGCCCAGTGCCATCAACCTCTGGGCCTCCTGGAGGGTGAGAAGGAGATACCACATCAAGGTTGCCTGTGGGAGTTGCTTATGCAGAGCAACTACAACAGCGTGTTGGCCTTGAGTGAGTATCTTAGAACCTGAGGCTAAGGAGCGAGTAAGTGCTGTGTGCTGCCATGCATCCCTGCCTCCAAGTGAGCACAGATAGGTGGGTTCTGGGACACTGTTGACCTGTAAAAGTGGCTGCTGGTGAGGAGGCCTCTCTTTGCACTGGCTCTGCCAACATCCTCCCTGCTGGCAGATGGCCCCTGCCCTGGCGCTGTGATTCAGAGGGGAGTGGTGCACTTCAGCTGGCTGCTGTGCTTCACTGGTGCACCCGCTGTAACGAGCAGCCTGACCCAGCTCACGGCCTGCCATAAAGATGGACTTGGCTCTTCCTGCATTCCAGCCTGGAAAGTGCTTGGCTCAGCCCCTAAGACAGCCTGGCTTGTTCTTCTCAGAAGCGCCACATTTGCCTTCATGCAGGAGCCCAATGAGCTGCTGGAGGAACATGCCAAGGAACAGTTAATTCTGAGCAATCAAGGCTGCTGTGTTTCTGTCAGCCCACTGTTTCTGCTTCCCTGTGCCCCCCTCTGCACTCGGGTGTGTCATGGCTCATAAGGAAGCAGCGTGGTCCAGGGGAGCATTGTAGATGCTCCACAGCTCATTACACCACTGGCTTGTACATCTTTGTTTTCTACATCTCCCGTTCCTGTGCTTTCCTTTGCGCAGAGGCATGAAAGTAATTGAAAACAGAGCTCTGAAGGATGAGGAGAAGATGGAGCTGCAGGAGATCCAGCTAAAGGAAGCCAAGCACATTGCAGAGGAGGCAGACAGGAAGTACGAGGAGGTGAGAGCCTTGGATGCTGTAGTACAGCTGACCCGGGCCAGGAGAGGCGGGCGCTCTTCCTGCTGCACGGG